TGTTTGTTGGATTGGCTCCCGATCCCTTGCCTGTTGTTTATTTCTTTGAATATGTATTATTGATGTGTTTTGTTTTATATCTTATTTATTTACATATTAGAATCTGTTATTTGAATGGAAGGCTAAGCCTCCTAAGTATTTATAAATTTGTAATATGTTATTTAAATGGAAGGCTGAGCCTCTTTATTATTTTATATTACCTTTTAACCAAAGACCAACCCAATCGATTCTTCAATGATAGTTAGATTGTTTTAACTCATTTAGTCACCACCCACCCCTTTCTTTGAAGTTTGATAAGTAACTTTTCTAGTGTTTTTTTAGTTCAAATTGAAGAATATAGTATTCATGAGAAAAAAAAATTGTTTAGATATGCATAATGGTCTATACCTAATGCTTCAATCAAGGCATAAATGTTTTTGATACTCATGTCAGTACTTATTAGTGACTTGGATTTGATTGCTTTGGCTTAATATTTTCCCGACAAGATATAAGCTTTACTAATTAGTTCTTAAAAATTTCGCAACTTTCTCATTTAATCCATTTTATAAAAAGAAATTCTAAACAAAATTCTCGTGAAACAAATTTGCTTATCAATTTTTTTTTAATGAAATAATCACTTTAAATATTAATCCCTCCATCCCATAATAAAATATCATATTAGAAGAAAAAACAAATTTAGAATTAAGAGTTATGATAGTTTTTCAATGTAATACTAATTACATCTTTTCCATCTATATCTCTAAAATATTATGTAAAATGATTTTTATTGTAGAGTTTCTGACCACTATTACAAATTATTAAATTTCATGTAAATTTTTCTGTAAAAATTTTATAAAAATCTGCAGGAAACATGTTTCATGCAGAATTTTTTACAAACGAAAGTTAAACACACATTGCTTCCAATTTTATGTTGACTTAAAATATGTTATTGATTTTGTCAAGTAGCAATACACCAAAAAAGTTAAACTATTAGGTGTAGACACACAATTGTTTTTCAACTTCTCATCTCTAATATGGCTGGAACACGGGGCTCAAAACATGGGCAATGCACAAATACCAAGCCAGAGAATTTCCCCCCGCAAAGGAGACAAGAACATCTGAACACAAAACAATTATGATGGGAAGATAGGTTGTACCGTACGAATTTATTACATCACCTTCAATAATATCTCTAGAGCCAGGTACATGGACCCATCATCTTGTTTTAATTAAGGAGGTAGTACTAGTACTAGTAGAATAGGATACCTTCCCCTCCCCGCGTGTGCCATCTCCAAACAAAGTCGCCGTGCCATCTCCAAAGAAAGCCTCCCTCCTTCCTCTCCGAAGAAAGTCCAATGGATTCGCCTCTGGCCTCTGGGCACGTCGAAACCGCATGAGTTCACCGGGGTGGAGCACAGTCCGCCAAAATCGGCATAGGTTAGGTGCTATTGATAGAACATGGTAAGCCTATCTTTCTCCGTATGGAAGTGCTGCGGGCACATAGAGATGTGGGTAGAGGAAGTCTCAAAAGGGAAGGCCGAGCTGTAGGTCACGTGACCTGCACCCAGTTGATTCCCATCGTTCTCCAAAGAAAGCCCTAACTCCTTAATAGTAAGCACCCAGACTCTTCGCAGACCGTGAAAAACATCATCATCGAAAACCCTAACTCCTGCGGGTATGTTGTTCTTTTCCGCTTTCAAACTTTTGATTCTACGAGAGCTTCCGGTATTAGTGAAAGTGTTATAGTAATTATCTATTGTTAACAATAATCACATGTCATGAGTTTTGATCATTTACGAGATCTCTAAGAAATTGAAATTTTACTACAATGTGCTTACTATGTCCATGAAAGACAGGATTTTTGGACAGCTGAATAGTGGAGTTGTTATCGCATAGAATTGTGATTGATTCCTTTCTTTTGATCCCAATATGTTCTAAAATTCTGTGAAGCCAAATGCAATGACAGGCACATGCTACTGCAGCTATATATTCTGCCTCTGTAGTTGATAAGCTAACTACTGACTACTTTTTCAAATCCCATGATACAGCCCCTGATCCTATATATTATGAATACTGCTCCAGAAGTGCTTTGTCTGTCAACCAAATCCCGAGCATAGTTACTGTCACTATAGCTTGTGATTTCAGTCTTTCCTCCCTTTTATTCCTTTGTTCATGATGTTCAATAAATGGAGTCTGAAGTTGGGTGAGGGGTTATTATAATTGCATGAAACGATGCTCATCTCCCTCTAATGTCATTTCTATAAAAAGGTAAAGGGGGAATGTGTATTCTTCACTCACTTTCTCATTTTCTCTGAATCTTTCTTCTTCATGGGTCACCTTCCTGTCACTAACCAACCCCACAAGGTGTTAAAAACTCAGAACACAACTTGTGCACACACTGTTTGTGAATAGAGAATACTTTGATGTTTATTCAATTGAAAGAGCATGACTTTTATAAGCCTTTACATGCATAAGATAAAAATTAAATCTACGTACATGGCTACAAAGTAGGCCACGCACACCTACGTACATGGCTACAAAATAGGCCACGCACACCTAGGCAAACCTAAACAATAGCTAACTGATAGACTAGTTCAACCCTGAGAAATAGGGCTTTATTTAAAAAATGCAAAAACAATCCAACAATCCCTCCTTTAAGCTCTAGCTTACTATAGTAATATCAACTACTCCAAGCATTTGTTGAAGTTTCTCAAATTGTTCAAGCTTCACTGCCTTAGTCATTATATCCGCCACCTGTTCCTGAATATTGCTATATTTCAATTGAACAACGTGATCATTTACGAGATCTCTAAGAAAGTAAAATTTTACTGCAATGTGGTTACTACGTCCATGAAAGACAGGATTTTTGGACAGCTGAATAGTGGAGTTGTTATCGCATAGAATTGTGATTGATTCCTTTCTTTCGATCCCAATATGTTCTAAAATTCTGTGACGCCAAATGCATTGACAGGCACATGCTGCTGCAGCTATATTTTTTGCCTCTGTAGTTGATAAGCTAACTACTGACTACTTTTTCAAATCCCATGATACAGCCCCTGATCCTTGTCGCCACCCGCCGAAACGGACATTGGCATTCGCGACGATGGTTGGACTCTTTTTAGTTTTAAAAAATGATGGATTGTTAGAACAACTTATTCTCAAACTGAGACCTCATCGAACTAACAATTTTGTTAAATAATTCTCACCAATCCGTATTAATCCCAAACGGGACCCTCCATGGATTAGTGGTTTTCGCAAAAAGGGGTTCTTGGAGTCGCCACCAATGTTTTACTCAAAACATTGGAAAAAGACATAAGGCAATTGATTTTCGCAAATCAACTTTGGCCATTACAACCAGAGTTCTGTAACTTTTGAAGAAGCTTCAAATAATCAATATTGGAGAAAAGCAATGGATGAAGAAATTCATGCCATTGAGAAGAATCAAACATGGGAGCTGACAGACTTACCAGCAGACAAAAAGCCAATTGGAGTAAAGTGGGTGTACAAAACTAAGTACAAGTCCAGTGGAGAAATTGATCGCCTTAAAGCAAGGTTGGTAGTAAAAGGGTACAAACAAAAGCCAGGTATTGATTATTTTGAGGTATTTGCTCCTGTAGCGAGATTAGATACAATTCGTATGCTTATCTCTCTATCAGCTCAAAATAATTGGAAAATTCATCAAATGGATGTTAAATCTGCTTTTCTGAATGGCACTTTGGAAGAAGAAGTATATGTTGAGCAGCCTACAGGATATGAAGTTAAAGGAAAAGAAGATAAAGTCTATAGATTGAAGAAGGCATTGTATGGTCTGAAACAGGCACCCAGGGCGTGGTATAAGAAGATTGATTCTTACTTTGTGGATAATGGTTTTCAGAAATGCCCGTTTGAACACACTTTGTATATCAAATCTGTTGATCTTGACAATATCCTTATTGTGTGCCTCTATGTTGATGATCTAATTTTTACTGGAAATAATCCAAAGATGTTTGCAAAATTCAGGGAGGCTATGGCTAAATGTTTTGAAATGACGGATTTGGGCCTAATGTCCTATTTTTTAGGCATCGAGGTTGATCAGCGAGATGATGGAATTTTCATTTCTCAAAAGAAATTTGCAGGTGATATTTTAAAGAAGTTCAAGATGGAGAATTCAAAGCCAATCTCAACACCTGTTGAAGAAAAGTTGAAGCTGACCAGTGACATTGGAGGCAAGAAAGTCAATCCAACTCTCTATAAAAGTTTGATTGGAAGCCTTAGATATTTAACTGCAACCAGGCCAGATATTGTCTATGGAGTTGGACTACTCAG